TGTGAATGCAACAGGGCGGTAGTCATTTAGACAGCTGACTCTGGGTTTCTTAGGAACAGGGACAATGGTGGTTTTCTTAAAGCAAGAAGGAACTATAGACTGAGCTAGAGAGATTGAATATGTCCGAGAAGACAACTGCCAGCTGGTCTCCACATCCCTTCAGAATACGGCCAGGGATGGCATCAGGGCCAGGAGCCTTGCGTGGATTGGTCTTTTTAAAAACTTTACACACATCCCCTCTGAATATGATCAGTGGGTTTCCGTCTTGGATTTCTGGAATCTTCCTGACTGGATCTGTGTTACTGACCTCAAACCGGGCATAGAATGAATTTAGTTCATCAGGAAGAGAGGCAGACTGTTGTGCGACATAGCTGGGTTGCGTTTTGTAGTCTGTAATGGTGCGTATACCACTCCACATGGTCCGTGTGTTGGAGCCGTGATAATATGACTCTAATTTTACTCTACAGTTGTATTTAGCTATTTTGATAGCTTTCCTGAGGTTGTATCTGGATTTTTTGTATTTATCCATATCGCCAGAATTGAAAGCAGCTGTCCTAGCTTTCAGTTTGCCCAAATCTTGCCATCTACCCACAGTTTCTGATTTGGATATGTGCAAACAGTTATCCCTGGAATCACGTCTTCAATGCATTTACTGATGTAGCCAGTAACAAAGTCTGTATACAGATTGATATTATTTTCGGCAGCTTCGCGGAAGATCTTCCAGTCAGTGGTAGCAAAACAGTGATTTAGTATAAAATCTGATTCATCCACCAACGTTGAATGGTTCTTAACCGAAAGGAGTATTTGCCGAAAGGAGGTCGGGGGAGGCCTTTGTTACCTCGGGATTACAAACATTTGTAAAATCTACAAATTTTATAAGATTATTAAAGGATTGGGCAAGGAATGATAGGAAACCAATTAAAAGAGAATACAGAGTTAGTCACACATTACAAGAATGTGCTTTGCTAGTTGTAATGAGCCTACTTTCTGTTAAAGCAGATAACATAAATAAAATCATACTCAAATATGTTTTCTTAAGTGTGTAGATAGAAAACAAGTACAAAAGCAGCCCGATGCTATCATCCATCGATACAGAAAGTTTTTGTTTTCCTGCTGTAAATGTTAAGAAAACAAGAAAAAGAGTTGAAATATTATGCTTAGCTTCATATGTTTTATAATTAAAAATGTATAATTAAAACTCTATAGGTCCTTAAGGTTGGAAATCAGGTTGAATTAAAAAGATGTCAAAAATTGCTCCTGTATTTATATTGATGGCATGGGGAAGGAAGAAAGCCTTCAACCACAGAACGTGGCCTTTAGTATTCCAAAGATGTCACCATTGGAACAGTGACATGTTTGCACTGTTGTTTGCCTGTTTGCCAGTGCGATAGCTATTCAGCAGGAAATCTACCTCTTAACTGCCACCTGAGAGTTTTTAACTAATTCCAGAGTCAAGCTATTATAGGGATATTTCAAAACACAAATGCAATTTTTGCCAATGTTGTGTTATAATGCTAATTATACTGTATAATTTAATCGGGGCCAGGGGATCTTCATGAATGTTATGAATAGTCTGTTTGGTTTTAATTAAGTTCAGTGGCCAAAAGACAATAGTTTTGATTCTACAGTTATAAAATAATTAACTATTGTTAAACTTTCAACCCATAGCTCATATTTTTAACATACAGTATATGGAATTAATGGCCTCTTCGCTGCAGGTGATTTGATTTGCAGATGATTAAAGGTGATGTTTCTAATTTCTGTTTGCATTCACTCCATCCGTACCGTTCAGTAACGTTCACATGTTATTGTTACTGTGGCACCAGCAGAGCAGCCCACACTTATTGGTACTGTAGGTGGTAGGGTACAGTGGAACCACAGCCTGTGCCTACATGGAGTTGCTTGGACAGCAGTAGACACAAGCCAGGATATAGTACCAGGATGGATGAGGTGGTAACGACAGATGTCTTGATTGCTCTGCAGATTTACTGTTGGAATAGGACTCACAATAGTTGAATGATAGCAAAATAATTGGGCATAGTGATGTTTATGTCCCACTGTCCTGTGTGCCTTCACTGTTTTTCCTGTGCCAATTCCATATGACATGTGTATGATTCTCCTGGATGTACTGTAAATGTTCAGTTTGGTTGAAAATGGTCCAGGTTCCTGTCTTTGTCTGGAACATTTCTGCATAGTGGTGTCCTACAGCTCTGTCTTCGTTCCAGGCAGTCTGAGAACTCTTGCCTTGAGAACCGTTGTGCTTAATTAAGGAGCATTTAGTCAGACTGCTCCACAGCTTAGAGCTCTGGCTGGTCAATTTAAACATCACATTATGGAATTAGACAAAAAGCTAAACCTGCAGGATCAAGGTGGAAATGTTAATTGATATCTGAGTTAATCCTAGAAAATTACATAGATTTACATATTTATACTCTAAAGGAATTTTACATTTCATAACTAATTGCATTTATCAAGTCATTTTTCCTAAGCATAGCCAACTGTTTTTAAATCTAAAGTGTTTTGCTAAATTATTGGTAGCCTCCTTCTACTGCATTAGCCCTCCTGCTTTCACTCTGCCTCTGATATTGATCAGTAAACTCAACTAATTATGTTAAACTGAGAAGTCAGAATATCCATTTTCCTGATGTTTAATTAGTTCCTCAATATAAATTACCTGAAAAGCTATAGGACTCTGTCCCTTGAATACTAAAGATGCCCATTTAAATTGAAAGAATAAAACCAGGTGCTCTGATGTTTACCTGGTGGTGGTCTGATGTTAAATAGCATTTCCTGTGTTTCCTGATTTCTCCCTTCACTCCACCAGGAGACTGAATTCTTGTATCTTGTTTGCATTGAATGTACTTTTGTATTTTGCCGCAACTACTTATGTTTTGTTTAATTATATCATTTTCATTACAACTGTATTGGCATTCTTCATAGCTGGTGCTGCTATTACAGCTATTACATAGCTCTTGGCTTTCATTGTAACCTGCGCCTTTTGTTTGTGTGGGTTTTCAGAAGTGGGTTCCAGTTTCCTCCCACCTACCAGTATGTTCCAAAATCAAGGGAGCAAGATTAATTGTCGCCTCTAAATTGTCCCTGGTGAACTTCGCTTAGCACATCTTATCAAACACTGCCTATCACCACCTATACTGAAAATAATATTCATAAAAACCCGAAGAGATTCAACATATAATTTACACAAATGATCTAACAAAAAACAAATCTCTTAAATTCTACTATGCTTATGATATTTGTGTAGCACGCAGTATTGCATGATATTTGCCTAGTTCCATTCTCTGACCAGAGACCTGCTAAAGTTTGTCTTATAGATTGTCTCACTCATCTCACTGCCATGGTTGAAATGACAGTATGAGATCCAAGTGTAAGACTTAATAACTTTCGCAAGATCCTGGAAGGACCGAAGATGGAGGACAGTAAAGGTAGAATGGGAGGAAGGCAGATGGGGCACTTACAGGCAGATTATAGGCAGGCAGGAGAACAACACCACCGGACCAATGGTGATGAGGATGTCAGTGAGGGCACTTAGGGCTGGATCTTACTCCAGGATTCAGGGTCTTTGGGATTCAGTATAGCAGGCTTTCAGGGTTCGCTGAGTTCAGGTTTCTTAGAGCAAGGCTGGTCACAGGACTACCTAAGGTAGCTCAATGTCAGAGCAGAGCTCCAGTGGTATTGAAGGGATTACATAGGGAGTTCAACTGGAAGCCTGATTAAATGATTGAGTGCTTGATTGACAGGGGGATGGACAAACCGACAGCCAGCCTCAGTATGTTTTAATGAGCCTGGGAAGAATGCTTGGACTTGTGGGAATGATGTGGTTTCCTGGAGCAACTGAAGTATGCAAGCAGCCACTAACCTGGAGTGTGACATCTTGTTCCTAAAACAAGTAGTGGGTGCATCATCGCTGGTTTTAATTGTTTTTTGTTTTCCTTTGGAAGTAAATCAAGTCTGTTATTGTCTTTATTTTGTCTGTTGCTTTGATTTCTTGTAAGAAGAATAAAACACTCAGAAACCTCTGTATCAATGTACATTTATACACAAACAAGAATGGGTTGTTGTCACTCCAGATACATCTGGTAATACTGTATGTAATGAATACAAAATGCAAAGGTTGTGTCTTTACAACCCTGTCAGAGGAAACGTTTGATGGTGATTTTGATTTTTGTGTACAGTGCAGCTACAAAACAATTGTAATGATTTAAGAAATTTTGCTGTAAAAAATCCAAATTTCACTATGCTTCAAAGCACTGAGATTGTAATCCAACTTTTTAGTAGATTAAAAAAGAAAAAAGTGCATTTCATGAATATAAACATACATTAAAATTAATATTATATACCTTTTACTGTACATTATATTTATAATGTATTTGATTTTATTAAATTGGAAAAGTGAACAGTAAATTGGAATAAAGCTTTTGATAATGCATTTAGAAGAAACTTTTCCACTGCATCAATACCCTGCTGTAGCCCTCATCTCAGTCAGTCTAAATTCTGTTTTGGGAGATCAGTCTCTGTACCAGTTATCAGTTTCACCTCTCAAATGAATAGACCTGTAATACTGCCTAACCTTTTGGCATCAAGAAACACTTCTTTACACCTTGACATCTCACGTAGCGTTCTTGAAATATGTTACTCTACGCTCTGTAACAGTACATGCAATTAATTGGATTTATTTTGTGTCTCCAATGGTCTGTCCTAATGTAATTTTGCCCTGATATGCTGATTTTTCAGAGCTCAGCTTCAAACCGATATATCATCATGAAAAGCAGTATTTATATTCGAGAGGAATATTTCTGGCATTAATCTTAAATTCTACAGACATAATTTTGTTGTCCACTATAAATCTTACTCGTATTACTATTAAATTGTAGTTTGTGTAAATACAAGAGTCATCTGCCTCTACACAGAACAGACTTCACTATTAATTCGATATTCTTTGATTCGTAACATCTTTTAAAACAACACGAAAACGCACACACACTCATTCACCCACCACAGCCGTGGTGCCCTAGCAGCCAATTCGTTGTGAAAATCCCGATGATGTAAATGGAATCAGAAATGAGTCGGAGAACCTCCGGGAGGCGCATTCTCAAATCAGTTGAATGAGAGGGAGACAGAGCCGAGGGATCGTGTTGGTGCGCTCCTTAAATCTGAAGGTTGCTCTGCGCCTTTTCTTCCTTTGGATATACAGTATCATGATGCAGCTGTCTTTGGAGACTTAAGTCTGTAAGTCATTATGTTATTACTACGTATAACGACGAACAATTGCAATACAATTATCAACATTATCTAAAGGCATATAGTGTTTAAAAAGTGTTTTAAAAAGCTTCTGAAATGGCGTATAAAATATGCACTTACGATATAATGTAAGTGGAGTCGTTTTAACAGTGGGCATATTATGCATTAAGTGCGAAGCCTCTGAGTATAAGATAAAACCGTTACTGTTAAGGGTTCGTCTGATACAGCACCAAAACTCTTTGATGAAAACTGAAAAAATGTTTCTCCTGACTTACGCAGTCTTTTAAAGTCGTTTCCTTTTTTTGTATCTTTGTTGAAAGAATAAGCTGCTTCGAACGCAGTTTTATAATTTTTGTGTTTTATTCTTATTTCTTCTAGCTTTCCTGAATTCCGTGAAACACTACCTGGCGATGTCTCAGTACAGTCATAATTCTAATAAAACTCGTCACACTGCGAGGGGTCCTGATTACTATTGGGAATATGAGTATTACGACTACGATGAGCCCGTTTCTTTTGAAGGACTTAAAGCGCACAGATGTGAGTCTTTTGGTTTTATCTTTATTGTTGAGACAGTCGATCTATTTTATTTTAGTACTCTGTTACTTTTAGAAATTGCCATATTTTTTGCAGTGACCAGTTTGAATTGGAAAAGCTTTCCACATTTTAACAGCAATGTTCTGTGTAAAATCACCTTTGTTCCATGGGATTTACTGCCCCAAAGACAGATTGTTGATCTGAATTATGTTTTTATACCAAACACATTAAGTTATTCCTTTGATGGATGCAGAGTAATAATATTGTAATGGCAAGTATTGCGATTGCCATCAATATTCGATATCAATTTGATTGTTAGATTTGTCAGTTTATTTCAGGCAATATAGGTAATAATTATTAGGAAATTGAAGAGTTTTTAGTTTAGCATAGAATAAGCTTATACAGTAAATTGTTCCCATTGAACTACAGTAATCTTAAAATAGAGATGTACAGTACAGTTCATGCACATGTGGAGTACTGACATCTACGAAAACAATATATTTGTATACATTTCTACAGCTATTTCAATAGGAGAAAAAAACATAATATATCTCTATCTTGGATGAAAAATATAGTAGAATAGTAGTAAACTACTCTGTATCTTACAGTGTGTAGCACAATCCACACCAAATCCTACAGAATATTAATATCAATATTAATGTCACCTGAAGAAATATTAAAATAAATAGTTTTACTGTATATTTTATTAAATGCTACAACAGGTTTTGCTACAACAGTAAATGCTACAAATTCTGCTTACTATATGTACTTACTATAGGTACCTAAGTGTTGGAAATTTGCCCTCAGCCAAATAGTCATGCTAATTTAAAACATTGTTCTATATATAATGTTTAAAATGAATGATCTTTACCACGTGTAAGAAAAAAAACCCGACAAACACAAAGAATGATACAGCAAAAATTAAAAGCAAATGGAAATTTCAACACCCCAGGCCCAAAGATAACTTTAGCCTGAGAAAGAAAATCTAACAGTGATACCTTTAGTTCCAAATATACTTAAACCTTGAGTGTTGTCAACTTTAAATGACAAGAAGAATGGAACTCCACATAGGAAAATCACCAGCAATATTTCCCCAGTGTCAGGATTGCAATCAGTCATAGAGTGGCCCAGATTAAATTAAGACACCAATCAACTCAAGAAACAAATGAACGCCTGGGAATGTTCTGTCTGGTTGCAGCCATTATGCAAAGTCTATGTGCAGAATCAATGCAAGAATCTAGGAGAATATCAAGTAATTCCTCCCTGCAGTTATCAAGTTCAAGTTCAAGTTTATTGTCATTATACTCATATACAGGTATATGGTATAACGAAATGCTATTTAGCTAGCTCTCAGATGATACGTAGTACAAAAAACAACAACAATACAATTGTATAACAAAAGAAAGACAGAGACAACAAGCAGTGTACAAAAAACAACAACAGGCAATGTGCAAAACAACAACAGGCAATGTGCAAAACAACAAAAAGGTAACAGGTAATGTGCAAAATCAACATCAGATGTGCAAAAACATGCATCAACAGAATGAAATAAAGGGATAGAAATTTTGGGGAGTGAGCTTTTTGACATGTAAGGCAGAGGTAGATTTCAATGTGTGTTTGAGTTTTTGGTAAGAAAGAAAGAAGGCACTGTGAGGTTCAGATCATAGGTGAGAGGTGAGGTGAGAGTGAGAGAGGCTGGGAGTTTAATAGTTTGATAGTGCGGGGGTAAAAACTGTCTCTGAGTCTGGTAGTCCGGGCCCGAATGCTCCAGTACCGTTTCTCCATGATATTGTGATTTCAAGCCCAGGTGTCTTAGTCCCAGGATAGCTACTACAGCTAGTCTTCATCCAGTTAGTATTGGACACAACATTTTTGAGCATAGCCTGCTGCTATTCTAAAACCCAATAAACCATATAATAAATAAACAAATGATATGGTGTGTATTAATTCAGTACTCTAGAATAACAGTACAGCTAAGACATCCAGCCATGACAAGTTGTTATTCCTATTGCTGTTCTACTGTTAACAAAAAGGTACAGTAGGCTGACATTCAGGTCTCATGTCTTTATGTAGCTGACCAAGCTGCCCAGAAGGGATCCAGTACTATCCCTGTATGATGACCAAATCCTGTAGGGTCTATGGGTGTGGCTGACACTGTCAAAGACACCTGCAAAGGAAATCCTATATCTACATCAGGCTGTAGGAAGAAAGATGTCAAAGTATGATAAGGATATTCATCTTCTTGAGGTGGTCAGGAATGACACATGCACAGTCAGCCCAAATATTATTGTCTTGTGAATTGAAGTAAACCTCATGATGGCAAGCAAGTGGCTGGCTGTTTTGAATATAAATGCTACCATGATATAAATCTGATAGATGCAGAGATTCGTTTTACCAGTTATGAGAATGCTGTCCTATGTCAGTCATTAAGAGCCATTAAGTGAAGCAAATGATGTGTTACCATTGACATTCCAGGCATCTGTAGCCACTGGACTAGATATTATCATTTATTTTTCTCCAGGTAAATGAAAATGTGAACCAAACATACAAAAAACATTAGCAATGATTTACTTGACAAAGCCTTAGGCCTGTTTATCAAGAAAATATGATTTGCTTATGCCCCTCACCTGTTTATGTTAATATGTCTTGAAAACAATTAGTATTGTGCATTCTTATGAACATTTTTCTTTTGTAATATAACCACTAATGTGCGAAACCAGTACTGACTCAATGATTTGTAATATTTTTCTAGCTAATAATATACAGTGCTAAGAAACAGTTTGTGAATCTCCTAGTTTGGTCCATATTCATGTGATTCGTTTTTCATGAAAATATTCATAAAAGATAAAGATAACCCAATTAAATGCATGCATTGTTAAATTTAATTATGCAAAATATATTTGTTTAATTAACGAAATGATACAACAGTAAATATCTTTGTTTAAATATCTATATGAACTCCTAGATTTAGTACCTGGTGATACCTTGTTGAGCTGTGGTGACTTAAGCAATACATTTCTTACAACTTCTTCAGTTTCTCACATTATTTTTTAATGGAATTTGGCCCATTAAATCTGACAAAGAGGCTCCAAGCTATTGATATTTGAGGGTTTGTATACATGAACAGCTCAAGTTGGAATCTAAAATAATATTTCAATTGGTTTTTATCATAGACCTGGATTTTACCTTGATCAATTCAAAATGTGAAATTTCTTCTTCCTCAGTCATTCTGCTGTAGACCCATCTAGTCCCTAAGGCAACAAAGCAATTTCAAGCCTCCCACTGTCAAACCTAGGGATGAGGTTCTTCTGTTGTTTTTATCCATACAAAACATTTCTTATTGTGGCCAAAAACTTAATCTTTCCACACATCTGTCAAGAGAACATTCTTCCAGGAGTTTTCTTGTCCTGGTGCTCTTTCACAAACTTGAGACGGGTGGAAATGTTCTTTTTAGAATTTCTTCCTGGCTTTCCTTTAATAAAAGCATTCCCATTCAGTCATTTCCTGATGGTTGAGGCACGAACACTAATTTTAACCACCTGATTTTAACCTGTTGCCACTAATCTGTGTGGTAAAAATCGATATGGGTGAAAACCCACAAACATTTTGACCATTTGATAGGACAGGGATACCAAACTCAATTCACTTGTTACCCATTTAACCACCTAATTATAATCATCCTCTTAATTTTGCTAGGTAAACAAGGGGTTCACTTATTATTTCACATACACTGATACTTAATTATGGATTTCTTCTTAAATCATACACCATTGCTTTCTAAAAACATTGAATTGGTAAATATAATCCCTTTTGGTTATTTAAGAAAACTCTCTTGAGAATATACTGTAACGCATACGGCCTCCATTGCTTGCGAGAGCTGGCTTACCAGAGCGGTGACGTCACCGCCCTCCTCTGCCCTCCGCCCTCCTCTGTGGATAGCAGGGAGATCTCTCTTTAGCTCAAGAGGCTGGGTCCCTGTTGAGTGATGCCGGAGGCCCGGGTTCGAGTCCCCGATGGTGTGGGGCCGACCTGATGTGCCGGCGGCGAGGGCGCCCACGTGAACCTCGTAGCGTTACAATACCAAGGTATCATGGTAAGAAATGGTAATTCCCAAAGATATATTGGGAGTTCACAAACATGTTTTCTCAGCAATGTATATGTAATAATCATTGTGAAAGCAATTATTTACGTACAAACATATTATGCTCATCAATGAAAATAAAATGGCATGGGGGCAGATTTAGTTTTTCAGGGTTCAGTGACTCCATAGACAAGGGATGGAAGAAGTGTTTTGTAAAGGGCTGATGTAGGTGCAGTGAAACAGAAATGTGCAGAAACATAAAACTGATCTCTAGAATTTTCTGTTTTTGCATATGTTGATCTCTTGTGGCTTGATGTGTATTTGTACTTCATCTTGTATGTTAAGCATGTATTGCGAGAAGGAGCCATCTAGAACAAATGAAGTGAAAGGTGTAATTTTGTAAAAAATGTTTCCTTTCTGTTGTCAGTTATAGTGTACAGTCCATGCCATGGACACTGAGTACTCCAAACAGACAAAGGGTCACATTTAAAATATTGTTCCTGCTGCTTTGTATGTTAGTTCCCTTACAGAGTACCGCTGAGCCACTCTTTCTAAAGGTTAGACAATATTAACTCGCTTTCATCCTCATAGCAGTATGTTACCAAAGTAGGGATCTGAAGTGGAGATATTATCCATTCATATTATTATGCACATTATTTGAAGAGTGAATTGAATGACCTATTTCCAACTGTGGGTGCAGCAACCAAATTTAAAAACAACACGTCTTATTAGCTTTTCTATTTCCTAGAACACTACAGTAAGTTCTCTGTCAAAACATAGTCTCACAGTCATTTTCAGGTCATCTGCAGTTATAAGTAATATGAACTCAAATTCTTATATATTGATGTTAGTAAAATGTACTTGTAACTGATACGCATGCATAAAACCCATCAGCAGCACAGAGGAACATCAGGACTCATGG